GTGGAAGCCCAAAATCTCTGTAAATGTTTATGAAAATTAATAAAATATAATTATAGAAAGAAAAAAAATTATTTTTGGTAAGAGAAATAGGAAGGCATACTGTTTCAAAAAGAAAGGCTTATTATACAGGCTAAGACAGAGATATAAGCCTCTAGTGAATAAATGTTAACATCAAAATGAAACATCTTTAAAATAATTTTTAAGGAGGAAAATGCAACAGTAATCCTGTTTTTCTGGTGCTCTGATGTTGGTCTCATCAGTGGACCAAGGGCATGGTGGTAATCAGAGGATGCAAGGAGAGATGGGCCAGAGGAAGTGGATTAGGGAAGCTGTACCCCAGAAATACAGCCACCTTTCCCAAGAATCAGCTTTTGGGATATGAAAACAACTGCTTTTAGAACAATGCTTCTCTAATTGGATACACTACTAGAAACACAAATGAAGCTTTAAATACCCTAACGTTCATTCAATCAAGTCTTGAGAGGTAGGACTCCGACAACAGAATTATTTTAAATTACATAATTCCATTTTCATAAGTGCAAAGTCAGACAATGTCATCAGAAATCAGAGTGACTCCTCTGGAATGGAAGATTATGAATGGGAAATGGCCACAGGGAGACCTCCCAGACAAGTGTTCTTTAAAGCTCCTAGTAATTCCAGTCACGAGGGAGTTCTGGTGGTGTAGTCCACAGAGAGCTGCACTACTAGCTCAAAGGCTGAGTTCTCTCTGGTGGTTTGATAGCAACAGCCGCTCTATGGGGAGAAAGATGGGCAAAATCCTCCCACGAGAGTTACAGCCTCTAAAAACCGACCATGAGGTGGTTCCAGTGCACTGGCCAAAAGTTGAGTTTGTTGAGTGATTCCAATAAGTGGTTATGTTTAGACTCAATGCCTTAGAACTCTAGAAAGCCTAAGAGGAAATGATTCTATGATGAAGTGTTGCCCCACAACAGTGATAAATGTGAATGCTATGCCTTCCAAAATTATGTGTTATGTGTTAACTCTGTGGCTATTATCTAATTTGAGAATGAGTTTTCTTTGTTATGAGCACTATTAGTGTAAAGTGTGTCTTAAATCACCATCACATACAAAAAAATGGAGCCAATTAAAAGCAAGGAAATACAACTACAGGGAAATAGATGCCAGGTCACATGAAGATCACCAAGAAAGTGAGGAACAAAAGAGACAAAGACACATTTTCCCAGAGGCAAGAAAGAGAAAGAATGCCCTGAATGCAGACTTCCAGCTTCCTAAATTGTGGGAAAATAAATTTGTTTGTTAAAGCCAACCATTTATAGCATTTCTGCTACTGAAGCATTAGTTTAGACAGATGCTAATCTGATATGTGCTCACTTCTCAAAGGAAAAAAGAAGGAATGTTGAAAATAATAGTGAAAGGAGTCCAAGTTCCAATACTGAGCTTCTTACTTATGGGATCTTAATCAAGTTCATGAAGCTTGAACATGTTTAAGACTACATTTCTTTCCATAGTTTCTATTGTTGTTGTTGTTATCTGCCGTCGAGTCGCTTGCGACTCATAACAACCCTATGTACAACAGCCCTAAACGCTGCTCTATCCTGTGCCAATCGTGCTGCCTCTGACACACCTATCTCGATTACCCCAGTCACTGAATCAATCCATGTCATAGAGGGTCTTCCCCTCTTGCGCCATCCCTCCACTCTCCCAAGCATGATGTCCCTCTCCAAGGACCTGTCCCTCCTTGCAACATGCCCAAAGTATGTCAGACGAAGCCCCAGAATCCTTGCCTCCAAGGAGTAGCTTGGTTTAACCCTTTCCAGGATGAATCTGTTTGTTTTCTTGGCAGTCCATGGTACATTCAATACTCTAGTTTGACCAGGGGAAGAACAGTAAATCAGAGTTCAGGCTCCAGTCAAAGCTATTAACATTTTGCACCCAATTTAATCCAGGCTTTCTTATTTGAAACTTTTTAAAAGTCAGACTTACCAGTAAAAACTGAGTAAATTCTGCATATGTCAAGTGTCGTTTTCTTTCTTTTCCAAAATGTAGCTGCACAAATTCTGATTCCCAGTTAAATGGAATATGCTGATGAATTGTGGTCTGTCCAAAAACTTGCTTCACATCCTCTAATGGGAGGGAGGGGGGAAAAAGCCAATTAAAACAAAAGTCAGGTTGTTCCTTACAAAATGTTATTAAACAAATATTTCTTTCCTAAGTCCATTTCAAATACACAAAGAGAGATTATAAAACCATGGCAGAAATTAAAGAATTGGTCAGGATTTCAAACTTAATAAGCCAACCAAAGCAACATGGAGGTTGAAGGAGAAATCAAAGTGTTACTTCAAAAGAAAGAAAAATCTAAAAGACCTTAGGAAGTATTATCTCATTTAATGAAACATCAAACTTATGTAAATATAATATTACAAATAACCTTATTTGTCTTAACTCAACATATATTGACATATTTTAAACCCAGAGGAGAGAATGTAATTGTTAGTAGCAGGACACAAATATACATACAGATACACACACATAAATACTACACATCTCTTAAATATAGACTTTAATCAAATTGCTGTTGTTGAGCAACACTGAGTCAGAATTACCACCACAAATTTTTTGGAAAGGGCATAGTTTAGAAAATTAGTCAGACAAAAATGTAAAGCTCACATTCAACATCCTTAATCCTATACTTGAGATTTTAAAAGTCCAGCAATCTATCAAAGTAACACCTGACAAAAAATGAGATGGGACAGAAAGGGCAGCAGCTCAGTGCTTTAACTTTGCACTGTACTTGTAGAGTTCAAAGGAAATTGTCAGATTGTCCAAACAATCCCCTTTCAAAATGAGTTACCAAATATACTAGTTACTAATTCATCACCACTTTTAACCTCTGCTTAAAAATGGTCAGAGGATTCAGAGTGAGGGAGGGGAAGAATATGAAACATTTCTAAAGCTTCATTTTTTAGTATGCTAGTTTTCTATTCCCAAAAGGGTGTTTAGAAGGTGAATTATTATACTAGTGATTTTTCCCCTTTGCTTTCACATCTTTAAATACATCTACCAAGCCGCCTTATTTTTATGACAAAGTATGCCTGACACCTTTCCCTACCCCTTTTGTGTCTATTAAAAATAATTTTTAAAAGGGGGGAAGAGTTTTTTAGATCTCCAAAGGATGCCAGAAATCTTGGCAAATGTTTCTACAATTTTCCCCAATTTCCTATTTCCACCCCCATTACACCCACAAAGTTTTTCTTCCATGCTTTTAAAGTTTCCAGAAAATGTTTAAGTCTTGCCATGAAGAAGCAGTAATGCTGCCATCAGCAAAAGGCTGGGTGTGTATTTGCACAGAGAAAGCAGTAAAAATCAGAATTATGCTGGTTATAAATTTTATAAAAGGTGGCAGAAAACCTCAGGTTGGCCCAGGGGGGGACAATAAAATAAAAGTTTTAAAGTTCAATCCTCAATTTCCTTGTATTTATTCTGTCTTCTTGCCTTCAGGGAAAAAAAGACACAAAACAGGGCACGAGAAAAAGTGACTCAAGCATCAAGATTTGAACAAACCAAAACCAGACAGTGAGTCTAATCGAGGAGGGTCAGTAAAGTAGGAGGGACCACTCTTCAAATTTCCCTCCAGTTCTAACACATCTGAGAAGAAATGCCAAAACTACAATTCAAATACCTTGAGTTCAAACCCTATTCCTAATACCAGCAGCAAACATTTTCTTGGGCATTTGCCATGTGCTAAGTGTGCTGTATTGGTTATACACATGAGCTGCCACTGCAAACAGCTGGCCTCTCATGTGAATGTCTGCTTGAAGTAACACAGAGGAATTTGGTCACTGTAAGTATAGAACTCTATCTGATACGAAAACTGACAAGTCTCCATTCTCTCTCTTGTCATATTTGTGAGTTGCTTTTAAATCAGCTCCAACTACTAGTGACTTTCTACAGAATATGAAGAATGGGCTAGCTCTATGATGTGTGATATATGTGAGTTCACTGACGAGGCAACTATGTCAATTCACCTTACTGAAGATGTTCCTCCTTTCTGCTGAGCCTTTACCAAACATGATGACCTTCTCTAGCAACTGGTCTTTCCTGATGACATGGCCACTGTAAGCAGACGCTGGCCAGCCTTTCTTCTAAGGAGCATTCAAGTTATATTTTTCCAAAGACTGAACTAGTTGTTCTTCTGGTGGTCTACTGCACATTCTGTCCCAGCATCATCATGTGAATGTACCAGGTCCTCTTTCTTTCTCACGGTGCAGCTTTCACATGCATGTGAAGTAACTGAAGAGATCAAAGTTCATCAAACTGACATTGACAATTGTATTGATACTGGCAATTGATAATCTGTTTAAAACTATGTCTATCTACTATGTATGCATGCATGTGTACACACCTATTCATTGCATATATATTCTTTTGAAGTAGGGTACCATCTCCTTCCTTGGAAGCAAAAGCTTTATTTCTCACATTCATTTTCCCCATTCTGTTGGTGAGCATTATGCGGGACATGTACTATTTATGCTCTGAGTAGTGACTGATTTTAAATGAATCAAAAAGGTTTATAACAGTACAACAGGTTCAACACAGTAGTGTTGATACTTATGGCACCAATTATATATTACTGAGAAGCTATTTCAATAATCTTGCCCTAATAGTTCAGTGAAATACAAAAAAACCTCATCAGTCTAGTGTGTTAAAACCCCAGCCATATTACTGTGTTAGGGTTCAAGAATATGTATTTGAACAGCACCTAAATTCAAATTTTTCAGATACAAAGAATTAGATAACATTTCGGGGTGGGGGGATATCTTAAAGATAAATAGAAGAGTTAGATTCGTATCTTTCTCAATTTTAACACCCCTTCACAACAAATAAAAGCATCATGGAGAACTGGAGAACAATCTCCAGATGAGCTCATGGGATACAGTAATGAGGAAACAAAACCCACTTACAGGGCTGCCACAAAGCAACTCCAATGGCAAGCACTGACCCCACCGTCTATGTGCCCACTGTTCGGTGGAGTTGGGCCAGGTGCTGACCAGAGAACCCGAGAAGATGGTCCCAGTGACCAGCTTCTAAGCTAATCTAAGATAGCAGCTATTTTAAGACTGATAAATCTTAGCTATCAATTTCATTTTTTTTCTAATAAAAAAATAGTATTTACTTAGAAGCATTCAGAGTGTCAACAAAATAGCTGCAACTTTTTTTTGTTTTTCTTTCTTTTTTTGCAATTACAGAGTGGTATTCAGTTAACAGAACAACAATTATTTTGTAAAAGCTGTATCAGACAACTGAAGATGAAAAAAAACCAAAACCTACCATCCCCATATATAACTAATTTGTGCTGTGCACCAACAAGAATCTGCTTTAAGTTTCCATGCCAATTTACAACCCCCATACTGTACCGGGCAAGGTTAGTGGCTATTGAAAATATCACCAGGACAGGGCTATCTAAAGACACATTCGGTAGTGTGTTAACTATAAAAAAAAAGACACTGTACAGTTTAAAAAAAAATCTTACACAGCCTTACATGTCAATTTTTTTTTTTCTTTAAAAGGAGTGAGCTGTGTACAGGGGGGTTAAAGGCTTTATAGACAAGAAAAAAACTGCGCTACAACCAACTTATTCATCATCATCATCGTCATCCTCTTCATCCTTATCTTCTTCATCTTCTTCCTCTTCCTTCTTCTTCTTGCTTTTCTCGGCCTTGACAACTCCCTTTTTTGCGGCATCAGGCTTGCGTTAGCCCTGTATGCAGCAATATCCTTCTTGTATTTCTCCTTCAGCTTAGCAGCCTTCTTCTCATAGGGCTGCTTGTCATCGGCAGCAGTATTATTCCACATCTCTCCCAGCTTCTTCGCAACATCACCAATGGAAAGGCCAGGGTGCTCGCCTTTGATTTGGGGGCAATACTCAGAACAAAATAAGAAAAAAGCCGAACGGGGCCTCTTGGGATCTTTGAACTTTTTTGTTTCGCCCTTAGGAGGGATATAGGTTTTCATCTCTCTCTCATAACGGGCCTTGTCCGCCTTTGCCATGTCTTCAAATTTACCTTTCTCTTTAGCAGACATGGTCTTCCTCCTCTCTGAACACTTGACAGAAGCATCTGGGTGCTTCTTGTGCTCCTCTCGGCAGGTTTGCACGAAAAATACATACGATGACATTTTGCCCTCGGCTTCTTAGGATCTCCTTTGCCCATGGTTAGTTATTTCTCGTCCGCGAGGCACAGAGTCTCCCAGTGCCATCTGGCTCTGCCTGGCACGGTGCTGTCTCTATGGAGCTCAATGTACTACAATGGCTGTGAGAGCGGGAGCCAGACGCAGCCTCCTCACTCCGCTCTGTAACTAGCTATCAACTTCGAAGGAGCACAGCTTACGAGCACGTAGGTCCTGTGGAGAGTGGGCATAGTGCTGTGCTGAACCCACAATAATTAATCAGTAAATCCATGCTGTTGTTGCTGTTGTGTACCGTCGTGTCAGAATCGACCCAAAGCTGGCCTTCCAATGGGTTTTCAGAGGCAGTTAACTGCACAAGAGACTGCTCACCCTTTGGTGGATTTGAACCATGTGCCTTTGCACTGGCAGTGCAATTCCTGACCAGTATGCCATCACAGCTCCCTGCTCTACTGAATCCACAATAATTAATCAAAACATCCAAGGTCCCCCTATCAAGTGCTAAAGTGTAAGCGAATCTCATGACAAAGAAAAGAGGAAAGCACGTATAGACATAGGAAAGGAAGACTTCTGGGAGAAGGTGAAACTGGATCCGGCACTAAGAGGCTGTAAAAGATTTATTCAAATGACCTGAACTGAGAAGAAGTGTTTCAGTAAAGAGAAAATCAAAGAAAGGATATTTATCTTTAAATGGCTTAAGAGTGAGAGCCCTTTGTACCAAAGACACCTGAGTAATGCCCTGCTCCAGCCACGGATATTGGCATCATTTGCCAAAAACAAATTCTTTTGTCAAACTCCAAGAATTTAATGCTACATTTATGAGGAAGACACATTTGCTGCGGGAAGAACAGTTGGCCATGAGACTGTGCTGGAAACAAATTAACAAAAAGACCTGCAGTTCTTTATTTGGCCACTTAGTACATATTCTGTACAATTAGTT